GAGAAAAGCTTGATTTTCTCCCAGTAAGCGCAGAATTGCCATTCAGACACCTGCTGGGAACTTTGCCAAGCAATCTATCTTCTCCCCTACAGGGCTTAGATAGGGCCCCCACGGCCCACTACCGGACAGTTACCAGCGTGATAACGGAGCTTCGTTAATCACATCTGTCCCGTCCCGACGCCATACTTGTCTCCTCCTCATCTGATCTCCTATGCGGATATCCCCCGTCCTGCTTTGGGGAGAACACAGAGGCAAAATAGTCATTTAGCATCTGTGCCTGTTCCCTCATATCAGTCACCGGATCTCCTTCCTCCTTATTTAGTGGTCCCACCACTTGTCTCCCCTTCCTCTTCCTATTTCCTGAAAGAAGCCCTTTTTGTTGCTCTTGATATTTTTGGCAAGTCTCAGCTCATAATCAGCCTTAGCCTTGCAAAGAATCCTTCTGCAATGGGCCTCCTCCTCCCAGGATACCCTTCTGTCTATTTGCCCCAGTACCCATTTCCTACAGAGGTTCCTCTTTCATCTAATCCCTCTAACCACCTCCTTTTGCATCCATGGTGGTGCTCTCCTCCGCCTCTCCAACTTACTAACTAGAGGTATCGTCAAGCCTTGCGCCTCCAAAACCTCCCTTTTGAGTGCCATCCACCCCTCCCCAACTCGCTTACTTTCCAGTAACCTATCCCAGGAGACTTTCCCCAGTCTGGCCTTCAGTTGGCCAAAGTTGGCCCTCTTGCTGTCCCAACTTCTAGTGCTCAACCTGCTGCACATCCCCAGTCCCCTGATCTCAAAGCAAAGGATGGAGTGATCACTCGCATCCAGAGCTCCCCTAATCTGTACTTCATCTATCAGCTCCATAAGAACTAAGGAAGGGGTTTGTACTCAGGTCCAGGACGCTGTAAATGCCTCCTTGAGAGAGGGAGTGGTGCCAGCCTCTTTAAAAGAGTCTGTAACTAAGTCACTCCTGAAAAAGCCCAACCGGGACCCAGAGTATGTCAACAGGTCAGTGGCCAACATCCCCTTCCTGGGCAAGGTGCTTGAGCAGGTGGTAGCAGAACAGTTCCAAGCAGTCTTGAATGAAATGGACTATGTTGATCCATTTTGATCAGACTATATGGCTCCTTTTGGAATGGAAACTGTCTTGGTCGCCCTGTGGGATGGCCTTTGCCAGGTAAACAACAGAGAGAATGCAACCCCATTGATTCTCCTTTACCTCTCAGTGGCTCTCAATACCATTGATGATGGTATACTTCTGGATAGGCTGCCTGGGTCGGGAGTAGGAGGCACTGCATTGCTGTGGTTCTGTTCCTACCTGACCAGCTGATTCCAGAAGGTGGTGCTGGGGAATTATTGTTCTGCACCATGGCAGTTATGCCATCAGGTACCACAGGGCTCTATTTTATCCCCTGTGCTATTTAATATCTACATGAAACTGCTGGGGGGGAGGTTATCTGCAGGTATGGGCTGAGGTGTCATCAATATAAAGCTGACAGCCAGCTCTACCTCCCTTTTCCATCAAACCCAGTTCAGGCAGTAGCTGTTTTGAATCAGTTTGAATGAGAGCCAACAAACAGAGACTCAATTCAGGTAAGACAGAGGTACTGTTAGTGGGGGAGGGTGTCTCTCCAGGTGGGTGATATCCAACCTTTCCTGGATGGGGCTGCACCCCTTAAGGACAAAGTTCATAGTTTGGGGATCTATGTGGGTCTATGGGGATCTGTCTATGTTCCTGCATCCCTGTTGTTGCTGTTGTTGTTAGTTATGGTCGTGTCTGACCCATCGCGACACCATGAACAACATTCCTCCAGGCCTTCCTGTCCTCCACCATCTCCCAGAAGCCATTTAAGCTCACACTGACTGCTTCAGTGACTCTATCTAGCCACCTCATTCTCTGCCGTCCCCTTCTTCTTTTGCCATCTATTGTTCCCAGCATTAGACTCTTCTCCAGTGAGTCCTTCCTTCTCATTAGGTGGCCAAAGTATTTGAGTTTCATCTTCAGTATCTGGCTTTCTAAAACAGTTGAGGCAAATACCAGATCATCATCATCAAATTAGAATAAGATGTAGAGGGATCCTTAGTAAATATTTTTCTTCAAGATAATAAACCCTTATTTAAAAGATAGTAAACCCCCTTTTTAAGAATATGATCAGAATTTGGAATAAATACAGGGGCATATTTATCCCATTGATTTCACCATTCTATCCAATAAAAAAAATGAAAAATTCTCAGTAGTATGAGGGAAGTACTGAAGAGTAAACATGTTATTAGGTAGAAAGACTGGTTAGAGAAAATGAAGAGTAAAGAAATGATACAAGCAATACTGGGACACAAGCAACGATCCAAGCAATACTGGTGAAGTAACTTAGGTTAATATACTTCAATTAGATCATTGAACTGATGATTGGTTGAAGAAAAATGGTCAATGTAGAAAATATGCTACATTTAAAGATATACTTTTACAGAAGAAAACCCCAAGATAATATGTGGATGATAGGACCGACAAGTAAAATTTACAACATACTACTAGAATGGGAGAACCAATACGATTCTCTTCGGAAATAGATTTAAAAAGACATATTATTACTGAAGAGCAGAATAATATGTGGGATAAGAAAATTTTAAAATGTATATCAATAAGAATTAAAGAGAATGTTTACAGATTAGTTTGAAAATGATATTTAACTCTGATTAAATTGAATTATATGAATAATAAATATTCCAATGTATGTTTAAGATGCAACTGGGAAGTGGGTACATATTTCCATATGATGTGGGAGTGCAAATATATACATGAGTTTTGGGAAGTAGTTTTCCCAGTATTAGTAAAATACTGAATTGAAACATTGAAGCAGACCCTGGACTAGCATTATTGTCATTATTTAGAAAACAAGTGGGACAAAATATTAAAAGAATTGATGGCAAATTTATTAACAGCATTAAGATTAATGATAGCAAAAAATTGGAAAGTAAAAAGTGATTACCAAATAGACAAGTGGTATAAAGAAGTTTGGAATGTAGCTATTAATGATAAGTTAACTTGCAATATTAATTGGAAAAAGGTTTGATAAGTGAAAATAATTTTGAAAATATTTTGGGACTATTTATTGAATACATCTTAATAAAAGGAAAGGAGTGTGAACCATCACAAGAGTTAATGCTATTCTGGAAGGGGAGTGGGAGTGGAGCAACCTGAATGAATAAATGATCTTACAGAGTAAGTAGCATTATTTGTTGGTCCTGGTGGAGGTAGCACTGTTGTTATCATATTGTTTAATTATGCGTAGTATTATTTTCATTGTATGGTTTGTATTCATTTAATTAATAGAATTTAATAAAAATTTAAAAATACATTATATGTTGAATATAATGTACAAATATCTCCAATATGTGTACCCTTCTCAAGCCTTTTCTACCAGCTACTAGATGGTTTTAAAGTATTCTAAGTGAATTGGTGGCAGTGGGAAAGGCTTGCAAAAACACATAGTGGCAGGAAGTGGTGGCAGTACTGGAAAGACGTAATCCCCCATAATTCTGGATTAATTCTTATTGTTTACAGAGCTAGAAGCAGTTCTATATTATTTGTATTGCTGAGATGAAGATGCTACAGAGAGATATAACATAGGAATTAAACTGTACAACTGTGTTTTGCCTTCATGTGAAATTGTTTATCCACTGTTTTCTTGATTAAGTGGATCAGCTGTGCCATGTACAATCTGTACATTGTACCTATATAGAGAATTGTTAGTTTTACAGCTTAATATGCAGTATCAGTCTTCTGCAGTAGCTAAAATAGGATTAGTCTCTTCTGGTTTGCATTTTTTTTGTCACTAAGGCCTTTGATTTTTTTAAAAAGCCAATCACACAGCAACACTTAAAATTAATAGTCTGCACATTTTTTTAAAGCACCTCTGGGTTCCTTTTTTAAATTCAGTACTTTTTTACTTTTCATCTTCTCTTTAGACTTAGAAGTGTAAATTTATTAGTGCTCAAAATGTGTATTTATCAAATTATAACATATGACTGACTCTGGGGAAGTGACAATTTATGCCAGTATTAACTTATTTTAAAAATTGCCTAAACTTCGTAAATGTTATTCTGAAGTTTTTCTTTAGATAGAGAATTATATCTTATTTCAATAAATATATCTTAAAACAGTTTGCTGTCAATGTCAACATATCAGAACTATGTCTGTAGAGCGTGAATGCATTTTTCTCCATTCCGCAAATAAATTAGCTGCCTTGAATTTGAAATGTTACATTTACCATATTTTTAACACCATCTATGCAAACTTTTTATACATCTAAGCAACATGTTCTATTGCTGAGGTTTTTGCAATTAGGAAATTTACCCAAATCTTCACATTCTTCTTTATCCTCCTTCTAGGAGAAAATATATTTTACCTCATATTTTTGACACGTTTGAGCCAGTTTACACGTTTTTAGATCTGAACCTAAGCATTTAACCTGATTTAGCTGTTCAGATGTTCAATTGGCATAAACTGAATACACATTGGGAGGGAACACAATCATGGTAGCAGACTCCATATTTATCTGTGATCATTTGTTCAAAAATACAAACCTTCTGCTAGTGGCTGAATTGGTGTGGACAAGCGCTCCATACAGTGCCTACAGAAACGCTCATAATTCCCAGGCTTCAAGGCCGTTGGCCTTGTTGGTTCGGTTTCTGAGAGCTGCAGTCCAACATATCTAGAAGGCACCGGATTGGGGAAAGCTGCTATACACCATACAAGACTTTTATCAAGTATACAACTATATTCCAGGGACAAGTAAAAATACAACAAAGGCACTGGTATAGTGGGGCATCTCTGGAATGAGTTTGTAACCAATTTTCTACCACAACTTTACGTTTGAATCAACTGAATCACCAGCATGCATTCTACATAATTCATGCTATTTTCTGCTTCGGTTTATATATGTATTAGCATGCTTCTAGAACTTGTGCTTACTGACTTTATCCTTGTTTTGTAACTGTTTGATCCCAAGGTTATGCCTTTCTGTTATTCCAAGAAGAAAGTTCTGTTCAAGCTCTGATAGATGCCTGTCTAGAAGAGGATGGGAAACTGTACCTATGTGTATCAAGTCCCACCATCAAGGACAAACCAGTAAGTAAACCAAATACATTAGTAAGAAATTGGCAGTTCAGTAATCTGTTGCTTTTAACATTATGCTGGCATACTGCCTTAGCCTTCACTGACCATGAAAACTCTGCAAGATATCAGTAAATGTCAAAACAATTCAGTATCTAAACTTTCCTTTACCAATCTATATTGGATCAATTCCCTGATGCAGGTACCTGAGTTCTAATGTGGGCACAGAGCCTGCTTGGAACAGTTTTCTCTTATGTTTTAATATAATCAGTTTTCATGTGCATTTTTTGTATGCATGAATTTGCTCCTTACATTGAAACAGGGATAATCTAATACAGGAGTGGGCAGAAAGTAGATCTCAAGATGTTGTGGACTCCCAACATTTTAACTCCTAATATTCTTAACCATTGGCCATGCTGACAGAGGCTTCTGAATGCTGATATCCAAAACATGTGGGGATCTACCTTCTACCTAACTCCGCTCTAATATACAGAGGTTTCACATACCTAGAAATAAACTTGGATCTTTGGGTTGGAATATGAGCCAGTTGTGTATATTTGACAAAATAAAAACAGTTTCAACTGCTTTTACTGTAACATTTATGTTGTTGCAGGGAGTAAAAATAAGTAAATTGTGGGGAGTTGTAGGGAGTAAAAATAAGTAGGGAGTTGTAGGGAGTAAAAATAAGTAAATAAGTAGATTGTGGGCAAACTGGCTGTACCACATGAAATGTGAAATAAAAGTAAGAAATCAAAATTTAAAATATTTTAAAAGTGTATTTGTATAAAATAAGTACAATTTCTTGGTGTAAGGTGACCTTCCCTAACATAGTGGCCTCCAGAAATGTTTAGACTTTAAGTCCCATCAGTCCTATCCAGCCTGGCCAGTGTTTAAGAATACTGGGAGTTGTCATCTAAAACAGTTTGAAGGTACCAGGTTAGGGGAAGATGCTAAAAGACAATGACTATTTAGAAGATCTGGGTCTTACTTCCTTTCATAATAGCTTTGTTTGGACTCATTTGCTTCACCCCTTCCTTTTTCTCCTATGGCATGGGATGATGAAGAGACCAGTTTTGCTTCTGTTTTTGTTTTTAACTGACACTGATTTCTCTTAGTGGTCTCTGTGCATCACACATATTGTCTCTGTACCTGCAGGGAACTTCAGTTTGGATAATGTCTATAGCTTAGGAATTTTTTGGCAGTAACCCTCCCCCACTGATTTAGTGTGTATGTCCTTCACAGATTCCCACTTTTTTGTCTGTTTTTCTTTGACTGCTGTAGCAGTTTATTGCATGAAGGAACTGCTGTTTTGTTAGAATGTGGTTTGTTGTGGTTGCTTCAGCTGTGGTTTTGCTTTCTTTGTTAATTCTGTCTACCCTTATCATCATTATTTTATTTTTTTCTTCATTTGCAGTCCTGCTTAGGGCTTACAGTTCTGAGGGTGCTTTTCAGAAAACATGTCAGGTGTGGGTGAAAGCTCACACGACTAACTGAGGAACAGTCACTTGCTTTGCTTGTTTTGGCTTGGGGAGGGACACAAGGTACACAGTACACAAGTCTGTACTGAAGACTTCCCATATGATGGGGAATCTTGTTAATGCAGGCAATGATGCTATGATGGACTTAGTGCAGAAAGCCAAGACTATGGTATGCAAGATGGGCCTAAGTCAATCAATATCACCTCTCTTCCCACAATGCAAGTTGCCTCATCACATCTCCTACTATCAGCCAAGATAACAGAACATCTGTATCAGTCCTAGCTACCAACTACACCAGTGCCAGTACCATCTGTCAAGAGTACACACCTTTCGGTATAAAAAGAACCAGGCCTCTATATTCTATCTTTGATTCCTCCATTCACATTTGTCCCTCCACCTGTACCTCATCTTTGGATCTCATCTGTTCCCCTTTTATTGTTAGTGGATTGCTGTAATATTGGATGCTTAGGTTCTCTCCATTGTCCACAGGGGCCATAGGATTGAATTTGGTTCCCTCTCATCTTTTCCCAGTATTTGTACTATAGCTCCATCACTAATTCTAGAAATGGAAGTTGATGAGCTTCGTCAGTGGTTGAGCAGATTCAACAGCATAAATCCAAGAAGGGCTTTTGTGCCTTTAATTTCCTAGTGTCCAATTGGGATGGAAAGCTATCTTAGAAATCTGAGATGTCAATTTAGATGCAACACTTGGGAAATATCAAATGATCTCACTGAGCTCAATACTGCCTCTTCTATGCAAGGGAGACTGGTTCTCCAGTCATCAGCCTCAAGGATGCTTATTTCCACATTGTGATTGCAGATAGTTTGTAATGTAGCTTTCATTACCTAGTTGGGCCCAAAATGTATCAGTTCCACATTTTCATGTTTGTGCTAGCAAGAGCATCTCAAGTGTTTCTAAAGCGCGGAGCAGTCTTTCACATCCACCTTCATGGTGTAGAAGTTTATCCCTACATAGTGATTCCTGTTGGCCCTACGATCTATTGAGCTCTCTATATTTCTGCTAATCTTCTTCCAATCCTTGGCCTCTCTATGTCATCCCAGAAAGATCAGTCCTTGCACCAACTTATTCTGTCGAATGTGTCAGAGCAATTCTGGATTACTCTCAGATTGCACATATCTTCTATAGTTCAAATATTGACAGATAGTTCAACCCAGAGACAAAGTAAAAGATTTTATTATCAGTATGGGGTGCATGGCTGCTATGGTGGTGGTGATCTGGTTTGTACGACTCAAGTTCAAGAATCTTCAGAACTTGTTCCTCTGGCTTCCCCTCAGTGGTAGAAGGATCCTTTCTGTTCCAGCATCCCATTCCAGCCTCCTTCACCATCACAAATACTAACCATAGATGCTTCATTATTATGTTGGGGTGCCACTGTAGGGAGCTTCAGGTGCAAGGGACTTGGTCCCATGCATAGCAATCTGCTAGAAGTTCTACCAGTGAGGAAAGCCCTGCAGGTGTTCAGATTCAATTTCTGCTATTTGTCACCTGCAAATTTGACAATACTACTGTGATCTACTGCATAAAGAAGCACATGGTCCATATGGCTTCCCAGCCTGTCAGTGGACATCTGAGAATAGTCCCTTACTTGTAGTAACAGACATACTAAAATGCATATTGCAGGAAGGAACAGAGCAAGTCACCATTTCCCAAGAATGGCAGCTCAAATTGGAGATGAAGAAGTGTTTTTTTCAGTTAGTGGAAGCAGCTACTGCAGATCTCTTCACAATACAGCATGCAAGAGGTTTAGCAATTCAAAAATATGTAGGAAGTTCAATCCTGGATCTGTGTCTGAAGGAGTTCCATCCATTAAAGATGTTGCAATGCACTTTTTTGTTGGGGGGGGGGTACCTTCATTGATGTGAAAAATTTTAAGTGGGCTTGGGTGGCTGTCATGGGGAGGATGATATGGGGATGTCCACTTTCCCCAGCTCAGTTGCAGTTTCCTACATCTGAATGTGGGAAAAACAAAAGAAACAAATTTGCTGCAATCCCTATGTTAACAATATCCCTGAGGATAATATGACTGTATGCATGTGTGACAAAAGAATTCAGGCAGTCTGTGTTTCAGTATAGTAAACACGTGAGGAGAAGGAGACACTAGCCTTGCATCCACCTTCCTTGCTTTTGTTACCTGTACTCATGGAGGCTAATTTGCTGAAGAGCAGAGCCTTCTGCATCTGTTGAGGCTTTCCATGCAGTTAGAAAGGTGCAAAATCGGTGATGCAAAATAGAGAGCATTTCCACAGATATGGGAGATTCTATTCCTCAGAAAGTCTTCCTTCACATGTAGAGGGTGCCAGAAATGCAGGAGCAGGACCTGCGCCTACCTGGCACATTTTCCATTCTCACATGTTTGTCAGATGTAGAATACCTGGATTGTTGGAATAAGCAACAGTCATTAGCATAGATCCACTGTATGGAGTGGGAAATACTTAGACTAGGCATTGTAGGAGGTACTTCTGTGTACCTCCTTTTCTTTCATGTTTTATTTATACGATGATACCTCTTAATATTATGTAGAGATCCTGTTTAAACCTTTCTGTTCTTTTCTGCTTCAAATGCATTCAGACAAACATGAATTCAAGTGTGGTCTGCAACATGAATAGGTCTAAAGACAGGCTTAGCCTCCACCTTGTCTCTCTCTCTCTGGTTAATTGCTTACACCCCAGATGAGAAGTCCAGCTGTAAGTGATGCTGTGCTCTTTTGGCCCATCCCCTCCCTGATTCTATCATGGAGGAGGGAATTCTCTTGAGATTCCCCCCTGCTCAGGCCCAGCTGTCCAACCTGCCAGATCACTTTGCTACAGACGCAAACTAATATTTTATTAGGCATTATCTTATATTCTGCTCCTACTTTCTGAACTTCTGTATGTATATGGTGTCTAGAAAATGGCAATGCTAACCTGGTGAGAGGAAGTGGTAGTGAATACCTGGGAGATGCAGTAGTTCGGGACAAGCCAGCTGCCTCAGGTTCGTGAGCACAGCTAATACTCATCTTCAGAAAAGAAACAAGTTTGTTCTTCTAAAGTGGAACTCTAGAACATCCCATGTTCATTGATTGCTGTTGATAAAGAATTATATTGATTATACAGTATTCTAATACAGTTAACTATTTTTTAAAAGGGCAAATGATTAGAAATCCACTGACTTCTCTGGTTTTTCCAAAATAAATTTTAAATGAAGTGGATCTTATGGCTTTTTCAGGTTCAAATTCGACCATGGAACTTAAGTGACAGTGACTTTGTAATGGATGGTTCTCAACCTCTAGATCCTAGAAAAACTATTTTTGTCGGAGGAGTTCCACGACCCCTTCGAGCTGGTGAGTGCAAATGTAAAAGAGAGAGAGAGATAATAGTCTCTCTAAAGCTTTTCAGCATATTTCAAATTGGTTAGGTGTGTTCTTTTTCAGCAGCAAGATGATGACATACTAACCTGGATTACATGATGTGCCAGGCTCTCCAGGGTGTTAATTTACCTATGATGAGCAATGGTTATGTGTTGGGCACCATTTTAGAATAGGCAGCACTCAATGGAGTTTCAGCACGTTATCTAAACCTTCATCGAGGATTATGAAAGAGTTAAAAAAAGTATTGCATCACCTGATGGCCAGATTTGGATAACATGGTGCAACTCCAGTGGGGGTTACATATTCAAAATGGTGCCTTGCACGTGTCATGACTCATAATGGGTTAAATAGCCCATGTTGAGCCCAGCACTTCGTGTGCACTGCGCCTTTACATTGGGCCCAGAATTGTCTACAGTGGAGGAATGATATTTACTCATTCTCCCTAGGAGCTTGCATTCCCCTCTGTCTCTGAAAATCTGTTCTGGAGGGTCGGAAGACCTTCTGGAACAGTATGTGCAGTGGCCCTTGGGACTGTAGAACAAAAGGAGTGATCAGCAAAGAGAGATCTTTCCTCTAGATTTGGGTTCTCCTCTGTAAATGGAAAGGCTGAGAAAGGACAGTGGCGCAGTTCAAACTCAGCTTACCTAAACTACTTTGGATTTTTAAAACATCTAGGGGAAAAAATCCCAGCATCCATATAGCTTATATTATCAGCCTACAATCTGAGAGAGTAGGGTTTCAATAATGGCATTCAAAGACAGTCACTGCTTAGCACAAACTAAAGTCATTCTTAAGGTTGTAGAACATCTTGTTTTTGCTTATACAGCTAGTACTGTGCCTTCAGAAATACAGATGGATCCTTGCTTTGACAGTATTCTCTCTTCCTCAGAAAAGAAACTAGACAATTAAAGTTAAAATTCTTCTGAAATTTCTAGATACCTATGCAATTATATCCAATGTTGTGCCCCCCCCCCCCCCGGGAATACTGGGGCTATATTGGTATTCTGGTTCTCTTCATGTATGGTTAGTTTCAATTAAAAGAGCTTTCAAATACTGAATATGGAGCCCTGTTTTTAAAGAAAAAAATATTTCTTGTATATGTGTAATGAATTTTCATCAGTTGACTTTAAATTGTTTTGCCTTTAACTTTATTATGACATACCACTTTTCAATAGACTTTCTCTATAATGATTCACTTTTTAACTCAAAAAGACAGTGTATGAGCCTTTGAAACATTACCTACTTCCTATATTGATTTTGATTTGTACTAATACTTTGATTTGAGTTTACAGTCTCTGAGCAGGGCTGTCAAGGACAGGACAAATAGGAGAGCATTCATTCATATGGTTACCATGAGTTAGAGACAACTTGATGGCACATATTCAAATATTTATTAGTTACAATCCATTTGTTTAAATACAATCTATCTTCATGTTTCTTTCCAAGTATTTAGGATGCAGTAAACCTGAAGAACTATTATCATTTATAATTCCTTAAATTCCTCATCTTTCACTGAGATACTGATTATAATGCTATTTAATCAGTTAAAGATAAATCAGTTGATTTAAAAGTTGACAGAGATAAAAGAGAGGGACTTGTTCACTTTTCTTCTGTTTTGTTTAGTGTGGTTACTCTTTTTGGATTGTGGGATATTAGTATGCATGTTTCTTGAGTAGTCAATGATATTTCCTGTTTTACCAACTCTAAACTTTATGTTGTTACAGATGCTGTAATTTTATGAACATTTTTACCTTTACACACACACACAAACGCATGCACATACACTGCACTTAAGAGCTTCTAGAGATTGAAGGAATGCATAGGTCCTTTGCTGTTTAATTTTCTTTTATAGTTGAACTAGCAATGATTATGGATCGTTTGTATGGAGGAGTTTGCTATGCTGGCATTGATACAGATCCTGAGCTGAAGTACCCCAAAGGTGCTGGTAGAGTGGCTTTCTCCAATCAACAGAGTTACATTGCTGCTATTAGTGCACGTTTTGTCCAGCTTCAGCACAATGACATTGATAAACGGGTAAGACATCACAGGATAATGCGGCACCACTGACAAACTGCACAAGTTCTTAAGTTGGGCCTCCATTGAACCAAGTGAGGTCTCCTCTGAGCAAGACTGGTTCACCAGAGTTCTGGGCTCTGGCCTTTCCAAGCCATGTTAGCCTGGTCCATTTAACAGGGTTAGCAAGGAATGAGCATGCAGCCATCAGCATGTAACGTATTTGCTTTACTGCTACGGCATGAAACTCCTCCAAGAGTTTGTGTTTGTTCTATTTTTAAAGATTTACATCCTCCTTATTGGGCAAAATAAAATGAAAGTTAGACTTTAAAATTTAGTTTTTAGAACTAAGTTTAAAACAGTTCGTATAAAGACATTGCTGAAATTAAAGTTGTGCAATGCCTTTGTCCCCCCCCCCACCCCCTTCATTCAGAAATCTTTTTTTATGGAACATCCTTGTGATTTGTGAATATATTATTAGGAAGTAAATGGTGAACTAAATAATAGTTGAGTAAAAGTGTCATGACTGGATGGGGAAAGGTGGAAATGTATGTATGCAAAATAGCAAATCTGTGAGGTTGATAAAATAATCCTTTTTTCTTGGAAACATGATTTCCTTCATAGTCCTGATTCATTTCCACAGGGAAAAATGCTGCAAACAGTATATTTTAAATAGAAATTGCTAAGAAAATTATATAATTTTTGTTTGAATTTGGCCCTATTTGCCTAGAAATGTAATAATTTATTCCAAAATAAAACAAACTGTGAAACTTTGCAGCAGCAAAATCGATAGGCTTATGTTTATGGCTGTTCATTGCTGGGTTCTAAATAAATAGGAGCAAGCACATTTGCATATTCATTTTACTGGGGAATATTTAGGCATGTTCTTAACACTTCCATTGAAAGCAGTGGGACATAAATAGTATTAACTTTGGCTGAATCATGACCTTACAGTTTTATAACGTGAAGTGTGATAACAAAGCTGATAGAATTAACACTGACTGTTCCAGTCATTCAAGAATAGCTTTATAAATTATACCTTGAGTCATGCTATCATGCTTTTGTCTCAGAAGGTGCATTTAGAATGTCATTACTGTGACAATGAATCCTTGTCAACTTAATTTGACAATATCATCTAATGCTTTGAGAAGAGAAATAGGACAATAAAGAGAGATGAGAGTTTCTTATTCAGTTCATTTGCTTAGTGTTTTCTGTTGGCTTATCAGCTTCCAATTTAGGTCTGTATCAATACTTAGTACAGTAAAAATGGCTTCAGTGTAAGGCTGAATGAGCATGACTAGTGTTATTGAAACACTGCTGGTTCAAAACTGAAAGAGGAGATTTTGAAATGAGATGCCTTATTGGTAGTGACATGCTTGAGTTCTTGTGGATGCTGTGAAGCATGGTAAACTTGGTCTGACTGTGCTGACATTCTAAATACCTTTTCACTTCCCCATTCTGTTCCAAACTTTGGTGCAGTCCTCACTAGCCACATTCAGAGAGCTATAGTCAAGTAGACTTGCCCAATCCAGAACTGGAAACGACAGTCTTGGTTCAGAGAGAATCTGTACCATCACTGAATGGTTTGTGATAAAGGACAGTTATGTAATTGACCCAGAACACATTTTGATGCTCTTTTCCTGAAAAGATTATCCTACCTATTATTCTCTTTTGACTAATTCTCTATTTGGTATTTAAACATATTCAAAACCCTCTGAAGTGTTAAGTGCCTTTCAATATTACAGCCTCTGTAGTTTTAAGAATCTGTTTTGAGGTTTGCACTGCAATCTAATGACAACACACATTTGTGGCTGTTTTGACAGTTACAGTGTTCTAAATTTTGCAACACTGGCATGACAATCTACTGAGTAGATTGACCCTCCTGTGCAAATTATTAAAGGGGCAGGGGTCCTAATAATTGGACAGCTGGCTCTAACCAATTTAAAAGCTTTTCAAAGCAAAGGAAAGTCTGCATTCTGGCTTGCTTATACAGGATAGAGGTGTCTCCTGTATTCAGATTTATGAGACTAATTTACAAACTCTTCCTCATTTCCTGAGCTCCTTTGTTGGTTTTTCCTGTTTATAGGTGGAAGTGAAGCCATATGTGCTTGATGATCAGATGTGTGATGAATGCCAGGGCACTCGCTGTGGTGGAAAATTTGCTCCATTTTTCTGCGCCAACGTTACCTGCTTGCAGTATTACTGTGAATACTGTTGGGCAAGCATTCACTCTCGTGCTGGACGAGAGTTTCACAAACCACTTGTGAAGGAAGGAGGAGACCGGCCTCGCCATGTCCCATTCCGCTGGAGCTGAAGCAGCAAGTACTGGAACCGAAGAACAGAAGGGAGAAGAGAGTGCTGCCTCAGGGCTTTAGTGTTCTGGAAATCTGTGCATTCATCCTTGACTTTAATGAAGAGATGGGTCTTTTTAGTATGATTACTATTATTATGATTATTATTATTTACAGTCACATTACTGAACTCTGTGTCCCATATAATACAAGCCTAGCACAGTGTAACTGTACTGATTTTGCACTTTGATTCACACAAACATCTGCTTGGTACCTTAATTTCTTACACAAGATCTGTCACATCTGAGAATAAGTAGACTGCCATTCTCATCAGCCACCACAGAGCTGATGTGTATGTGATGACGATTTTAAAAATGACTTTTTTTTAAGCTGGAGCATGCACTTATTTTCAGAAACTTAGACTTGCCCCTAGCAAATAACTTACCAAAGGTAACACTCACAAGTAGTTGGCAGATGTAGCAAACACATTAAATGGATATTCAGCAATCATTAGGTTGGGTCATGTAGAATAGGAATAGCCCTACAAAGTCTTTAGTTGCTCTCCATTTTTACTGGTAAGGATGATACCTCATAAACTGGATCACACTTTCTCCACCCCACTTCCCTACCCCTTTTTGTTATGCTGAGGGTTTCCTATTTCTTTAGGCCTTTTAGTGTTATGTAAATGTATGCTGCAATAGCTCTTGCTGCTATTAAGATGGTATTACTAATACCACAATACTCTATCCAAGCTAGGGTATCAATTTAAAAAGATGATTATGTGATTTAAAATCATGATGGCTGCTGAAAAGAGATCAGTATAGCGTTCAGAAAGCTTCCAAGGAAGGTCAATAGTTTTGACTGCATGTTTACTTAATCAGGTTGCTGCATGCAATAAATTTTTATATATGTCTAATATGAAAATCTGCCCACAATGCACCAATTAAGAATCTATATAGGCTACAAAGTACTCAGTAATTTCACACACACACACAGATTACTGACTGGAGGGAAGGCATGCCTCAGTAAATGTAAGTGCTTCTGAAATTAGGATCAGCCCATTGCAGTATGACCTATATTACAACACATATTTTTTGAAAAAACTAGATCTAGAATTATCCTTAAAACCAATTTTTCAATGATAGGCAAAGTACTTTGCGGTGCTCTGTTATATATTGTGCAATTTATTTTATATAGTAAAGTGATTATGTCTAGTACTGTGATCAAACTTTAACTGTTTAAGCCTCTGTGTCTAATATTCACACACTTCTGAAAGTTAAACAGGTACAAATGAATATGCACACTCACAAAATTAAGAAATGAGCTCTTAGTGTGAAACTCATAAACACTTGCACCATTCATGTAGCTGCAGCCTTTGCCCAGGAAAAACAAAGAGCTCAGAAAAGCAGATGTACACTACAAACTTAGCTTAGTAAGCAAATAAACATTTTAAGAAAGATAAGAAAAGAGTTGTGCTAAAGAAATGTCTGCATAAAAGGTTAACTTGCAAAAAGTCTGCTCTTTGGGTGTGACATTTAATTCCTTGAACCCTGGATGTATCCTGTGAAGCTTGAATATATTTGAGATCGACTATATATAATGGTGGACATTTTTTAGCATATACTATGGGGCTGCAAGGCAAACAGAGAAACACATATTAGTGTGCTAACTATAAGAATGTGGGAACGTGTACACTATTCTTTTAGGGGTTTCTTCTCCCCCCCCCCCCCCAAACACACACAGTTTTTGGAGTTCTGGGGACAATCTGACTGGATCTGGCACCGCATAGATTTAAATGTTCTAATTTTGTGTGCTGTGATGGCCTTGTTAATGTCTGACTTTTTAAGTTTTCTTTTAATGTTTAATTGGCAATTATTGATTTTGAACAAAACTTTCTGTGTTAAAAAAACTAGTTTTTTACTGGTTAAAAAAATCATTCTTATCCCTTCCACTGTTTTTTCTGGGCATTTTTGTGATATTGCTTTATCCAGCCCAGCTGTCTTTTTTCTGTTCGGGGTTTTCATTTTTTTCATCTATATAAGATTTGTTATGCACTACTTTTTGTACCTAGACAGTTTTCAATAGTTGGCAGATTATTCTTTTTTAAAAGAAAAAGGCATGCTTTCTGACTGACATGATCTTTTGCAATACCTCAATTTTGAAATATAGGAAAGAAAATATTTTCTAAGTAAGTTTATTCAGAAAAAATATATATTAATTTAATTCTGCAAGAAAATGATTTAACAAATGGGTAACTTTATTTTTTTCATGCTTATTTGCGTTTTTGAAAATGAAGAAGTTAGAGGTTTATAACTGTAATATTGAAGATCATAGCTAACCTACAGAAGTCTACCTAATTATGTGAAACAATATACATTTTGAAGAAATTTCCTTCTTTCATGTACAACACCAGAAAGAAAGAAGGGAAAGAGAGAGAGAGAGAGAGATGCTGGATGTTATTTGAGTAATAACATTAAAACAAATACACCAAGGAAAGATGTAAAACCAACTGCATTGGTGCTGGAAGTTGTGAATAGAAGGTGAAAAAATATTTTCCCTTAATTTGTATATTTATAATCAAGCAATTACGCACGACTGACCAGAATTGTGAGAGTTCTTCTGTTTGTATTTTTTTAAAGGTAATTTTTTAGTTTACTAAATTATAACATTGTCCCCTTTTTTTTGTAAAGGAACGTACCCCTTAAGTTGTTATGTTATATTATTATAAGAGGGTCCTTCAAGAAAAGAAGTTATTTTTTAAAATAAGTATTCTGAACTGCAACTTGACTAAGAAGCCCCTGGGTACAACAGGTCCTCTTGTGGCCTTCTCTTGATGTGAGACTTGAACTAGTCGATTTTTTTTTTTTTTTTGAAGGCAACTTAACCTCGACTATTTGTTGTTATGTGCAATACTGTTTGTACTGTTTGTATAAAAAAGAAAAAAAGAAAAGAAAAAAGGCATAAATCTTTATTGCAGATTTATTTTCATTGCAAACTTTAGACATTGTGATTCACGAAGATCATTTTTCTACTGTCAGATATGTACCTTTTCTTCATGCTGGTATTTTTTCAATAGTAATGTAGCCTTTGTACTGAGACAAATTTTCATTGTTATTTTTAGAAAGATTTTTTGCTAAGAGAAATTTAAACATTGACATATTTTTCATTTTTATTTCAGATTTTCTTTAAGGAGTGCTTTCTCAACCATTAGTATAGTTGTTTCTGGGAGAGGCTTTCATATCTGGTCAATGTCATTAATATTATTTTGTACTTTTACTTGGAATAAATTAATTTTATGATGCTAATTCTTTAAAAGTTTATTTTTTTCATTTTCAGTTATTTTTGAAGCTAAAAACCTTTGTAATATTGTTACTAAAGTGTCTAGTTTTTTGAAATGCAAAGCTTTATGTATTAACTTGCTGATGTGGTTTACAATGGTGTGAAAATGGTTGGATATGTGAAATGATTGAAAAACTGTAATGAATAATTGGGCAATAAAATTACAGAATGAAGCAGGAAAATGATGTGATATTTTTGAGAAGCCTTTTTCCTTTTTCAGAATGATTTAGGAATATAATAGGGATGTCACAGTACCAGTTTGCTGTCTAGATTTATACACCAATGCTGACGAACACAACTGTTGTAATTAACTCCAGTCCATAAAAATAGCAGGTTTACTACCTTGCCTCTTGAGCATAACACTTCTTTCCTTCCTCCCCACCCAATCCGACCCCACTAGGACAGGCACTGCTGCTGCACAGTGGGGTGCAACTAAGAACATAAACACACTATACACAGCATGAACGCTTGCATACTATTTACAGCCTTTTGGGCTGTTAATCTGAAATCTCTCCCAAGTTGTTACAGTGTGATCAACCATGCTTTTATTTATTAAACTCACCTCTCATGCTGTATTTCTGTGCGCTTCTTTACATGGTACCCCAGAACATATAGAGGAAATTGTATAGCATCTGCATAATGTTAACAGTGCAATGACCAGACAATGTAATTTACGACATAGTTAGTGCTAAATGCATGTGTAGCAATCTATTTTGCTGTCTTTGTGCCCCCTTTTCAAGCCACTTCTATAATTCTCTTTCTTTGTGTCAGCCTCTCTGCATCACAGGTGCAACATCTGTTGCTTCTATGAAAACACTGCTTCATTTTATGTACTTCATCTCCACCTTTGCCCAGCTAACACCTACCGTTTTGCTGCTAACCTGGCAGAACGTCTGTGCTGAAGCTAGAGATACAATTATCTGTCCCTTAAGATCCTGCAAACCAAGCTGGTGTTATCTAAGCATAACATACAAATTGCCTTCCTGAGGTGCATCAGTTTTGAGATTTTAGCTGATGAAGGGAGGCATTGTGATCTCTTGTAGAAAATGTCTAGAGTCGGCCCATTGTGTCTTCTTTGTAAGTAATGTATAGGCAAAATCTAATAGTAAAATTTAGACTCTAATTAGGTACTACTGGTTGGGATGCTCACAAATTGTAAACGTATAATAGAAGTGAAAGAGATATTTCTCAAATTCCTGCAAAGTGGTACAAAGTGTGTGCTTAGATTTCTGCCTACACACTTGCCTATTAGGAAGGCAGGGTCTAAAAGAAAATTGTAATACATATATGCACAGTTAGCAAATTAACTTTGCTGATTTCACTATCTTTGTTAGAGTAGTACAAAAATATATAGTGCTTCTACTGGGGAAAAACCCCATGTTAATATTTCAGTATTGTGACATCTCTACTTGCAAGATATGAGTGAAAGATTAGTCACAGATTTGTAAAAAAAGAAAAGAAAAAAAAAGTCTTTTGTTAAACCTGGCTTGTATGTAGTTGCTTTTTACACCTGTTTGTATAATGTCAGCTTAACCTCATTTTTTTTTTTTCAATCAGAAAATTTTTCTTCTCAGTCTCCACTGTTACAGTGTTTCTGTCTTACCACGGAGTATTTTATATTCATGCAGATGATTTGCTCTGTACCTTAGATGGGTAGCAAATCAGGAGCGTTTATTGTCATTCTGCACATTTGAAATTTACCTAATAACATTTAGCAACAAATAGATATCCAGGGTGCTAATACAGGATAATCATTTCTGCTATTTTTTGTTTCTGGATGTGGTTCTGTTGGAGTATAAAGTACTATAGGTATTTGTAATTTGCTGTCAAAATAATGGACATACTTTTAGAATGTTCAAAACTAAGAACTCTGTACTTGTTTTTTCAACTAATTTTAAATGTATCATTTCTTTTACTACATGTTCTCTTAGACTGGTTTTGCTAGTAACCCTAAAAAGCTTTTATCTTTTTTTGGCTTGGACTAATGCTTTGTATGGAACTGCAGTACTGTGACTAAACATGGAGCTCAATGCTGCTAATTGCTTACAACTGCTTCAACTTTGTAGTTTGAACTTAATTTTTCTGTAATAACTTATTAAATCTAGTTGTATGAAGTACTGACACTTGTCATCCTTTGCATGTGTAAAAGAAAAAGCTATGGGGGAAAGCTACTACTGGACTGTAGACATGAGAAAAAGGACTTCAGTTTCCTTAACAATGAAGATGCTTGTTTTATTCTGATAGCAGGTCTTGTTGAATCAGTTCTCTTTACCTTACCACAGAAACTAATTATCACATTTAAGCTTGCTGTAGTACATGCAGGCACTTTGAAAGGGTCTGTAGATCGACTCTCAGGCTTTGCATGAATCTCCAGGGCAGGCTGGGAAAGACTTTTGCCTGCTTCCAGTCTAGATGGACCAGTGACTTGGCTCAAAATACAGCAGTGTCCTGTGTTTGTGCCTATGTAATTTGAGCACCTCTATTATTTTGCCAAATGTTAAAACAGGTTGCTTACCTTTAACTGTCATTCTTAGAGTAGTCATCTGTGCATTCACACGCATGGGCTTCAGCACCTGCACAAGGCATAGAGTGGAAGAAACTGCTACAGCTTAGTGTCATGGAGTGGGTGGGAGTCCTCTGCCCCTTCCAGTTTCTGGTTATATGAAGGGGAGGGGGCTCCTGCCCAGTCCCTCAGTTGACTTGGAGAAGGCATCATCTCCGGGTAGCTGAAGGACAGAGATGTAGTTGAAATGTTGCATTCCTGCACCCAGCATCCTGGGGGTGGGGGGGCACAGCCAGCTGATGACAGCAAGCAGGGTAGACGGCGGGTTGTATGAATATACAGATGACCACTCAAAGAACAATAGTTACGGGTTAGCAACTTTCCTTTCTTCTTCATAGTCTCTCTGCATCACACATGTGCAAACTTACCCTTTGCAGGATGGAGGGCACTGTCATCACTGAAGAATCGATGGGAGGACCACCCTGCCAAATGTGCAGTCCTGTCTCGTGTGGACATTGAATTGGTAGTGCCGCATGAAGGATGATGGTATAGATCATGTGGCAACTCTGCAGATGTTGTGGAGTGGAATAGTGGCTAGAAGAGTGGTTGATGTGGTCTGGGCATGCATGGAATGTGCCTTTGGGTGCGTGGTGAGCTTGAGTCCTGCTAACTCAAATCCTAGGCAGATGGTGCTGGAGGCCCACTTGATGAGTCTTCGGAACAGGATGGGTTCTCCTTTCCTCTGGCCCTTGTAGTAGACGAAGAGTGGTCTGGGTGGCGGAATTGCTTTTTGTGACCTGTAGACTGCAAGGACCCTGTGGGCATTGAGCAGGTGTAAACTTGATGGGGGTGAAGGGGTTAGGGAGGACGGCTGGGCAACAATGTCCTGGTTGATGTGGAAGTCAGAGGTAACCTTGGGTCTGAACTGGGGGTCTATGGAAAATCAGGGTGCATTGACTTGCAGCACCAATAGTTTGGTGCAGCAGTGGCAGGCGGATGCAATGGCCACCAGGAGTGCCATATTCCATGATAGGCGCTGCAGGTCCATTGTTGCCATATGTTTGTTTTGGTGAGGGACTGAAGGACCCCCTAATAGGCTTCATGATGGTGTGCAGGGATGGGCCGGTGGGGCAATTTATTGGAGTCCATGGAGGAACCTGCAAGCCAGGGTATGTGTGAAGATGAATGACTCCCAAACTGGGGGGGATTTGACATAGCCACCAGGTGTACCTGCAGTGAGGATGGGATGAGGCCTGTGCTAAAGCAGATCTGTACATAGGTGAGGATATGCTCTATGGAGGTCTCAGATGCTTTGAGTTCTGCTGACCTGGTGAAGGTTATGAAGGCCCTCCATTTGGCCAGATAGGACTTGCAGGTGGAAGGCCTAAGGGTGGTCTGCAGGCTGGAGGAGATGGCAGGTGGAAGGGACAGGTAGGGGTCCATTGCCTGTTGATTCTCCAGGCAGTCAGGCTCCTGATGTCTGGGTGGAGCATGTAGCCCGTCCTGCAAGAGTAGGCTGTGGCGCAGTGGTGGGTGAAGGAAGGTCCCACTGGACAGCTGGAGGAAGGGCAGAAGCTATAGTTGCCTCACCCACCAGGGGATTATGAGGATGCAGTCCATCTTGTCCCCTCTGGATTTTGGAGACCACATGGGTGATCAGGGGAAAGCAGGGGAAGCACAGAACAGTGCCCCTTCTCATTTTAGAAGAAACACATCTCTGAGGGAGCTGGTCCCTGCCCCTACCCTGAAGCTGAAGAGGCTGCATTTGGAGTTCTGGGGCATGACAAACAGGTCTATCTTGGGTGTGCCCCATTTGCTGCATAGGTCCCTGAGAACTGCATTGTCATCCTGGCATGACTCAGGGTGTTGGTCAGGGTGCTTAGCCAGCCAGCCAGCCACATGGATGGCTGTGATGGCGTCTTCCCTGGCTATTCACCATTCCCAGAGGGCAGATGTCAGGGTGGTGAGTGGGGCAGATTGGTCAAATAATACATGGTAGTGGTGTTGCCTGTCACAATTTGCACATGGTGACCTCTCATGGAGTCTTGAAAAGATACCAGGGCTTTGTACACAGCTAACATCTCCAGGAGGCTGATGTGACACTGTGCCTCATAGTGATTCCATGAGGCCTGGGCATGCATACTATCTCAGTGTGTGCCCTAGCCCCAGTTGGAGGCATTTGTTGCAACAGTCACTGTAAGTTTGGATAGGGTGAACTGGACCCCAGTGGTGAGGTTATCCAGGGTGGACCACCAGTGCAGGGAACACCTTGTGGAGGCCACAGAACAGTGGCAGGGGATCCTCATCTGTCGTGAAGGTTACCATGAACCAGAGCTGGAGTGGTCTCATGTGAAGGTGGGCAAAGTACACTACACACACTGTGGCAGCCATAAGGCCCAGGAGTCTCTGGATGGTGTGTGCTACAGAGCAGGCCGCAGTCCTGATGGACATGGCCAATGCACTGAAGGTCTCTACTCTCAGTTGTGGGAGGAAAGTTTTGGCAGCTGTGGAATTCAGGTGAGCCCCTATGAACAGGATGGACTGGGTGGAAGAGAGAACAGACTTAGTGTGATTAATTAAGAGTCCCAGATCCTGCAGGATCCTGCAGGTGGTGTGCGCTGTGTGCAGGATGTCAGTCCTTGAGAGGGCTGCCAGAAGCTGGTAGTCTAGGTATGGGAA